TCGAAAATTTCTGGCATAAATTTTATTCGTTACTATATTTAATTTTGTTCTTTAATTAAAATACTGGATAAAAAAAAACATTTCTAATCTGAAACTGCTTATAACCTAAACTGCATACGCATTAATATCAGAAAATTAATGATTCGTTATATTTCATAATTAAAAAATCTTTTTTATCGCTAAACTTATAGGAACCAAGTAAATTTAGTAATTAAAAACAGTTTATCATCTCATTTAGTTTTTCAAACGAAACTTATAAATTTAAATATTTTGATCAATTTCGATAAATGATTAAAATATTTAAAATAAAAATAATTTTCTAAAACCATTAGAAATTGAAACAGCTTTATTTTTTACAAAAAAATTTATCTATAATATAAATATGTATTTTAATAAATTCTTACGATTGTTATATGGTTTAAATAATATCTATCTTTAAATATATTTATCCATTTTTATTTTTAAAAATTTAACAATCCACTTTTAATTCGAAGCACCCCAAAATTATTTGCCACTCATTTTCTAAAAATTCTTTAAATAATCCTTTATTTTGTATTATTCCTTTGAACAATTATTTAATAAAATGTTCATATACCAGTCATTTCTAATAATCTAGGAGATTTATATATACAAAAAAATAAATAGAAAAAGTGATAACCATATCCAAAAAGAAAAGATTTGCTGAAATTTCAATTGCCGTCTTCACGATTTTGAATGCATGGTATGGGAAAATCTGACTAGTTTCAAACATATGTATTCTTACATATATAGAAATTACATTTTTTGTTCATGATATGTATATATAATATATGGATTATGACTTTCATACTTAAGTATCAAAGAAGTGAATGGAACTGTCACGAAAAGAATTTTCACTCAGTTAATAATTGGACTTTCCGTACGAAAATTTACTATAATGTACTAAAATACTGGTATGAAATTATAAATTCTCCCCTATCATCCGGTTTACACTTCTCCTGGTCTTTTCAAAATTGGTTGATTTTTATTTCTTGTTTCCTGTTTGGACTATTGCACGGTTTCTTCTAAATTCTTGAAAAATTTAATTCTTTTGATGTTTCCATTAAAAGGCTATAAAAAACATACTTCCTGATTTCTGTCATATTTTCCGTCGTCAAAATTTTGTTAATGAAAAAAAAAGCAAGAACAAGAGGGAATGTTATCAATTTAAAAAAAAAGCAACATTCTAATTGTAACAACACAGGTGTATAATAATACTAGAATCATGTTTTGTGTCTTTCATACACTATATTAACTGAATGTCGATTCCATGTATATGCTGCCCTATATATTTTCTGCGTGAATTTTAACTATCAAAAAAAAAAAATTACCTGTTTATGGTAAAACCGGTCCCGAAAATGCATGGTTTTTCTTAATCTTAGAAAAAAAGAAAAGAAAAAACAAATGCAATAGTGGACACTGTATCGTCATGTAAAACAACATAAAATTCCTCTTAAAGTTTTAGTAATTGATTTAGTAATTCCGTTTGCGCACGATTGTGTGAATTTTATATCTAAATGTCGAAAGCTTATGGGTATTCATATGTCTACACCTTACACACATCATTTTCATCTTGCCAACATATATTAGCCTTCTCGATTTAGTTGATATAAACTGCTTTGTGTTCTTTTCAAATTATCCTACAGTAGGTTTTTTTTGGATTTAAAACATCCTTTTATCTGACATTTATTACGGTTTTATAAAAATTCAATATAATCTTGATAATCATGTCATATATACAATAAAATAACCATTATCAAGCGCCTTGAATTTAGGTTTTCTGGGTATAAACCATAAACATTGATTAGGTTGTAAAAACAAACCAAATAATTTCACTTAAAATTTCAATACAGAGACTTTTTGCAAATGAAGAGGCACTAAAATTCAATTTAAACCTTTTAAAAATAAATAAAAAAAAAAAAAGAAGAAAAAGAAAATGGATGTGCTTTTAGTAACTGTATTATCAGTCCAACTTTTTGCAGCAGATTTTTAATAAAATGTTTGCATTAGCGAAATTAAAAACAAAATAAATCCAATTAAATAAAATAAACAGACTTTTGAATGAAATGGCAAAAGAGAATACAAGTTCAAATAAAAAAACAAGAAATATGAAATTGTTATCAAAAACTTTTAACAAACTAAATTATACATTATGTTCGAGGCCCCCATTTTACACAGGAGATAAAAAAAAAATAACGGTTGGGATATGATGGCCCCCATACAAAATAAAAAAAAATGCAGAAAATTTTACCATGAAAAGTGGGCTGTCTTTGAAAATATTCACGATACCTTCAAAGTGATATAATTAGGTTCGTTTGAGGGCTTCCTGGATACACAACATAAATTATTTCCCCAGTGATAATAAGTATGAAAAAAATGTTTTGTTCTGTTTATCCAAGGTGGGGATGGAACACTGATATTATTGAATTAGACGGTTTGCAATTACATTTAAAATTTATAGTTAAAAAAAAAAAAACAAAGTTTAAGATTATTAAATCATTTATATTAAAATGTGTAATTGACAAATTTGATTTTCCATTACTACATGAAAACAGAAATCAGTATTGTCGAAATTAACTCCTAAATAATTCCCAAATTGTTCCTGGTTCTCCTCCTACACTATAAATACTTTATTTCTTTCTTGACTTATTTCTCTTCTCTTTTTCATTTCTTCATTTTCAGCGACTATTTAAAAATGTAATATCTCGCAGAAGATTGCGTCTTCCCATTTGTGGGAGACGCCATGAACATTATACACATACACGTACGTACGAACATTCACCAAAATACAAACTTTCACCAAAGAACACACACAAATGTTCATGTCTTTAATATTATACAAATTTGTTTTGTAAAATTGACAAATATTTATCGGTCTTGTTTTTATTATATTATATATATATATCGGTCTTGTTTGTTTTCTTAATTCTTGTATTGGACCTCTTCTAGCAGGAATAAACAACACTGGTTTTAATCCAACACACTAAAAACCCCCGATCCTCTACAATCTTGTCTAAATTTGTTTTAGCATGAAACGAGAACTATTTAAGTTGTCATTTTTTCTACACAGAAAAAAGAGTTTACTATAACACTTGTCATTGCTTTTTAACCTATAGGGAGACGCAGTAATTTAGACGATAAAGATCAGTTAAAGTAGTAAAAAATACCGTTAATTAAGCTTCCCCGCGCAAAATGTAACCAGTGAATGTAGTTAAACAAGGCCAGTAATGGTGAGTTTGGCTGAACGCGACTGAGTCCGAACTTTTATTGTCGATAACTCCAAACGGTAGATTTTATCAAAATTTAATTGTTATTTACGAGTTTAGCATGTAAATTTACAATGGAAATATAACAATTCGGGATATTTTAATAAATATTTAGCTTTTGAAAAAGAAACAGCAAATTACTCGCTGTTTTCTTTTTAAAGCTCAAAAAAATGTCGATAATTGTCGTTTTATTTATTTATTTTAAAAATTTAACTCCGCATTTTCCGCCCCCTCCCCATTCGCTTGTCTTCTATTTGCTTACTCTCAGTTGTTCGTCGAAAGAAGTAATGGCATTAGACGATCTTAAAGTCGGGGATTAAAATCTGATATGCAATTCTATTGAAAATCAAACCCCACTTTGAGTCAAAATGGCTGCAAAAGGTAAACCACAGAAAATGACCGTCTTTATTAACTTTTTTCCTAAAATAAATGTTTGTTTATTTTTTAAAAAAAAAAAAAAAATTTTGTTCTTTCATTTTAATGTAAAGAATGGGAAGTGTTTATTTGTTTTTACTTTTCTTAATTTTCTTTTTTTTCTCCTTCTTTTTCAAATGAATGATTTTGATTCATTTTTGCATTTTTTTTATCTTGTGCAGATGATTTTTTTTTTTTTTTGTTTTTGACTTTTTGCTTTTTTTTGGACCGTGTTATTTTTGTCAAAGCATCAGCTGTCTGGTTTTTTTTTTTTTTTTTAACGGTTAAAAAAAATAAATATTCTCTTTTTCTTTGAGGGTAAGATCATTTTCTTGAAAAGATGAAAACCTGATTAAATGATCTTTATTTCAATATCACTGTACTATACTTATTTGCCCTTGACGTTTTTATTATGGTAATTACCTCCTTACTAGGTTCTTCAGTTGACGAATTACTTAGTCAGGGAATGTTTCGTTAAATATATCCTTGTTAAGAATATCAGTTTCAAGACTTATTTCAATTTATTTAACGAAACGAATTTAACATGAATGAATAAACACTTGAAATTAGGACGTTTGGACACTCTTCCTAATATATCATCGTCATGTTTTTTAACCACTGGTTGCAGAGGCTTCTCGTTGTCCTTACGCAAAATTATTGACCCTAACATACATACCGATTCAGATAAACTGATACCATTTGATAAATTGTATTTTTCTCAGATGGTATATGAATACATTTTAGGAATATGTACTTTTGATACTGGTCAAGAAATGAAATAAATGTAAAAAACCTACGAACGAACATTTTGCCCAGCATTTTTTGTCTTTGAGGAGAAAAATATTGACGAAAATTTACAAAGATTGCAGTTACTAAAAAAAGAATGTAACTTTAAATCTGTTGATGCTGCACAAAACCGTGACGACTATGTTTAGAATATCATTTTATCACCGGTTTTTTTTCGAACATATTTTGACAATTATTCGAAAATGACACAGATTTAAATATATGCCATTTTTTTTTAGAGCGTTCCATGCAATTCAGAAAATTCAGAAACATACAACCTCAAACACCAATAGGTACAGTTTCTAAAAATTTTAGTACCAGTGTCCAGACAACGGATCCCGTTAATAAATGTTATGCAGTCTCGGCTAAAACCAAGCCTAAAACGTTTCTTCTGCGGAGGATCTTGTCATAATAGAAGCGCATGTAAGCAACAAATGCTATTTGTTTCAAATGTCAAAAGAAGACCATTTCTCAAAAATGTGTCGTTCGAACCCCAAAATAACATATGCTGATGACATGATCTCACAGACTTGCAACAATGTTGATGAGATTCAAATCTACCTCCGCTTCCTTAAGATCCTTAAAACAGGCTGCATTATACGTGTTAGTCGGAAAAAACATGGCGCCGGTACGGGCCTAATGGATTGGGGGAGCTCAGGATCTTTTATCTTTCACAGAGAAACACAGACTACAGATGAAACCTACTACTGGCAATGTATCCATGGCGTCATCATCACTTAATGCCTCTATCAAAGGATAGTGTACAGTGGACTTAAACCTACTAGGTGAGTGAAATTCAAAAAAAAAACTTTCAGCCCCTACCCAACCTCTGCCCAGATATTAATCTTGGCAAGATATCATGTCACAATATTCCATCATATCTTTTACATTTGGTGGCTCTAATCAAAAGATATCGTAATCTCTCATCTTATCTTCTGTAGCGTGCCCTCTGCGTTAGTGGACACACCATCTTTATTCTCCAACATTGATCCAGACTGTAAACGTATTACAACCAAATCTAAAAGATTTCAAGAGGGTGACAGGCGTTTAATACAAACTGAGTTTGAGAAAATCATCATCTGATTATGAATTGTTATATAGGAATAAGGTGTCGCTGCCGACACTGAGTTTTGAACACAGATCACCAGAGAGTAAACACAAGCGATCCCATTTTGAATAAGTAGATCACGTGATGGTAAAGGAAATGTATATATGGGAATTAGCGTGGTGTCTAAGTGATCATTATATGGATTACTATTCGGATCACTATTCGGTGATTACGTACAAAAGGAGTATTATCGAGCAAGTACCATTAATGCGAGTGCTTTATTCGAAGGCGTCTGACACCAGTATTGTTCAACGTCGTTACTATAGTTTTTATCTGCGATTACAAAAGTCTCTACTACAACGAGTATGACGAAAGTGACAATGAGGGTTCGTTGACATCACGAAAGTGGCAACAAGGTTTCTTGAACAGCCCTGTTTTTCCTTATTACTATAAAAATACGAAGGAGATCTTCAAAAGAGATTGTTCGCATTGGAAGATAAAAAGAAAGTTCGGTTATTACAAAAGGATTTTCTCCCCTGCGGAACATGAAAAATAATTAAATTATATTTGCCGAAAAAACAGGAGAGATAAATTTTGATGAGACTGTTCTAATACTATCGAACATTTTTGGTGATATGATTTTGTTATTTAATACATGATGGCAATGTCTTAACTTAGTGAATTTGTTCTTTGAGACTGGTGAAGATTATACTCTTGTTCCAGAGAAAGAGTGATAGTACTGTTTGTCTACGGTGTACAGGAAACAAAGTCCCGAGCGAAGTTTGTTAGTTTCCACGGTAGCTATTCAGCCGGAACAGATTCGAGTGGAAATTTTATTTTCCTACCACACAATTTTCGCCTAAATCTCACAAGCTATTTTCGGCTTATATTACACTTCTCATGAGGGATGAAAGGCCTTTTGATGTCCGGCTGATTCCGGAATTTATTAGCGCCGCAACTGAAGATATGCCAATTGTCGAGAAAACGTGGCGTTGATCTGAACTCTGCGATATGGGCAAGATCGAGTGTGTCCTACCATTGCGATTCTGAGGCGGTGTTTTTTGTTGTATACATGCAGCTCAGTAAGGAACAGAAAGCAGACGAGGAGCAGATTAAATGGGCCCCATGAACGCATACGCAAAGAACGCATTCAATTCGTGACTCGGCGAAAAAAATAAGGATGAGACGGTGGACGAGTTTCTGACTGAACTTGTGGGGATAAAATAAAAATACAAAATAAAATAAAAATACAAAATAAAATAAAAATACAAAATTAGATAAAAGTACAAAATAAAATAAACATAACAATCTCCCAGGAGTCCTCTGACAGGAAAGACAATTTACGCATGTGCAAAAAGAGATTTCCTGCACCAAAAAATAAACTAGAAGGATCTATCTCTTTCTCTGTTGGACCTTTGATTGGTGAACACGTGCCAACTGTTCGGGAAGGAAATTCCCCAATAAGAGGTCGTTGGAATCAAAAAAGAAGGAAATAAAATCAGTGTCCTAAACTGTCCCTCTAGTGTCTCCATATCCTTCTTTTCTTTGTCTATTTATTTCAGCGACGAAGGCAATTCAACAAGTTTTGGATGTTTAGGTGAAAGAATCAACCCAGCACTAATAGCCATAACATTCATAAACGAGGAGGAACTTGGCCCACACAAGGTTCTGATTCCCTTGATGACGGTCGTGCAGGAGCACAGGCAAAAGGTCCGCCGGTACTCAGTTACATAGAATTAAACGGATTTGTGGAGACATTCACTAACGATGTGGAAGTGTGCGCGCAAAAGCTTACTCTATGATGGCAACAAGGAGTTAATGTGTCGCTCTTAGATCTGCGGAATGCTTACCTGCAAATCCACATTGACAAGATATGTGGCCATTTCAAACAGTCATTTTCAAGGGCAAGCGGTTCTGCCTTACACGATTGGGATTTGGCCTAAATGTGGCGCCACTCGTCATGAAATCCGTCGTGGACGCAATAACGTCCCAAGATCTTGCAATCAAGAGCGCCACGTCGGCCAATGTTGCTGACATTTTCATCAATGAGAACATGGTTTCTACAGCAAGCGTGCGACGGCATTTTTAGATTACAGCCTAATCTGTAAAACCCAGAACGTTTGAGAGACGGAACTAGGGCCCTCAGCCTGCAGGTCTGGGAGAAGAACGGCACCCTCCGATGGAAGTGGGAGGACAGTTCTTGGAAGTTCCAAACGTGGTGACTCGTCGACGTATATTTTCCCTTTGCGGGAAACTTGTGGGTCATTTCTCTGTGTGTGTCTGGCCTAGGGTGGCAACTGCATTCATCAAGTGCTGAGCCAGCGCGATAACCAAGAGTTGGGAAAGGAAAACTGGGTGTGGAGAACAACTGCAGCAGATTAGCAATGGATATAACCCATTACAATGGCTGGCATTTTCTAACACTCATTGATTGCGGTCCCTACAGATTTGCAATATGGCGACCATTGCCACGGCAAGATGCAAATAGTGTCATTCACCAGTTGGAGACAATCTTCTTTGAATGAGGCCCGCCAACCGAAATATTAACTGACAACGACACTGACTTCATTTGCAGACAATTCAAGGAGTTTGCAAGCAGATGGGGCGTGCGTTTGAAGTTCCAGTGTGCACATTCAGCGGCCGAAAATGGAATTGTGAAGCGTAACCGCAGAAGTATTAAGACAATTGCGGCCAGAAAAAATTGTTCCGTGTTAAAGGTGGTTTATTGGTAAAACGTTACGCCAAAAAGATGACATCTATTCTTTCTACTGACGCGCTGCATAATTAGCACGTTCCTGTTAGTTAATATTATTTTCATCAACCAACAAATGTTTTTTGAAAATTGACTTCATTCCATTTACGCTAATATAAAAAGGGAAATAACTCAAGATTAACAGTTTACATAAATTCAGAGTTATTTCCCGTAGCAGTAATGTATTTTCCTGTGCAAATTTCTTTGACAAAAATAAAAATTATTGATTTTTACAGACAAGATTTTTATTTCATACAAAAGTTATATTATTATAATAATATATCAAAATTCAGTTATAAATTAATATATGTAAAAAACACTATGGATAAAAATAAAAGGAACACTTTTTTGGCAACCTTCGTGCCTCCCAAAAAATTTTTTGAACTTTTTTTAAATTATGTTGATATAACAAGGGAAATCACTCTAGATTATCTGAATTCAGAGTTATTTCCGTTGTATTATATACAGGGTGTCCATAAAGTTCGTGTTCACTTTAAAAATTTATAACTTTATTTGTATTTGTGATAGAAATGATTTGTAAAAAGGATTAGAAAGAAGTAAATCTATATTTTTAAACTTTTATTGAAATTTTATTTAAGTTTTCACATGTCCTCCATCATTAACAATACAAAGGGAAATACGATTTTGCAGTTCATGGAAGACATTTGCCAACTGATGTACAGTAATACCTTAAATCACATTAGTTATTTTAGCTATACTTAAAAGTAAAACTGGGTACATTAAACTTTATAACCTTTTTACAGATTATTTCTATCGCAAATACAAATAAATTTATAAATTTTTAAAATGCACATGAACTTTATGGACACCCTGTATTTTAATTTTTAAAAATTTGTAAAAAGACACTATGCATAAAACAAAAGGAAAAATTTTTGGTAACCTAGACCTTCGTGCTCTTAAAACACGAATAGTCATAAGGACGGTTTTTCCATTGACACCGCTATTATTTCACTACTTCGTAATATTTATTGTTTTAAAACGCTATCATTGAACAATTTTGCTTTTCTGTTTTTTTTAGAGTAAGGCGTTTTTGGTTAAATGAATATATATAAATTTGTTAACTTTTCTTTACCGACGCGTTTCGTTTTCTGATGGACAAGGTAAACTTTATTACATGTTTGCAAAATAAAATCCTTCCATTTGCCTTGATAAAGTCCTTAGGGGCGAAACGCGTCGGTAAAAAAAAAAATTTTTCCTTTGTCTTTATTCATAAATATGAAATCAGTGAAAACAGTTGTTTGGTAAAATTTGACTTGCCACTTGCGAAGTATGAAAGAAAACATTTGGCATCACAGTACAAACGGAGGACTAAAAAATATTTGTATGGTAAACTTTAAAAAAGGGTCTGAATACTTTTTGCTATCGTTACTGATCGAGGTTCTTAAAACAACCAAAAATTTTATTTGTCCGTGTCGCCGACCGCCTATGATGTCCCCTTGTTTGGCTTACAAAATCGGAGGAAGAAAAAGGAATCGATTTAAAAATTTTGTCCAGGAATTTTTAATTATTTGTTTTTTTTGTGGGGAGCGAGAGGTGTGGATACATTTAGGCAGAAGGAGGATTTTTATCAAGTTTTTGTAGGTGCCATGGAATTCGTTGGCTCATCTTGCAGCTAATCTTTTTGCTACGTTTTTTCGTCGGATGGATGGTTTTTTTACTCTACATTGAACTGTTTAATGTATCTTTCTCAGTAATTGCTACTTTTGTATTAAAATACGCCACCTGTTTGAATTTAACGTAATCTGAACATCGGCTGTATCTGACATAATTTGCAAATGATCGAGTCGTTAAAGCGTTATCCTTCCGACTATGAGGTCCAATTCTCCCTATGGTCGATTAATGAAGAGGGTAATTTCTTAATAATATAAGCCTGGGGATATATAATCCCTTCGTGTGGCAACGTTGGGAAATGCCTGGTAAAGCATACTCACTTTGTGAGTGAAATTGAGTAGATATACGACACACGACAACCTTGAATATAACGTAGAGATTTTAATATCGATATATAGGCACTGTATCAAAACTCAAAGACAAAGGGGAGAAAATCCTGGGAATACAAGGGGATAATTGGGAGAAGATAAGGGGGATAACTGAATGGCCTCGCAGGCTTAAAGATAATAATATTGTCGTGATATCCACACCAATCTCAACATCTTGTGATTCCTTTAAATTCCTGAAACGGCCTCATCGAGGAAGCTAAGGAAATAAAAGTAGCCAGGAATTACACACGGCTTAGGATCTTGGACAAGCCAATCTCATCTCATTTGGGAGTACAAATATTTTTTTTTAATCCGTCATCAAGAGGGCTTAATCCATTATATAAAAAAAAGGAATTCCAGATTATGAAGTAAATTTTTTCTCTTTTACATTTTAATAAATCACGTCGTATGAGCACATTTATTTGGCTTCCATCGAAGGATCAATTTACAACACGTACCTTCAAAGGTTCATTAAAAGAGGAGATACTTGATGGGAAAATGCCGAAAATTGAATAAAAATAAAATCTTTGGATTATTAAGAAGTCAAAATAAAGATTTTTTTTATATCATTTTTTTCCTTATTATTCTTTTTAAAAGTTGGAAATTTTACTTACAAATTTTATTTTTTAGGGTGTGATATTGGGGCCTTAAATTTGTATAAATATCTAAGCGCATTTTTACGCACAAAAACTCATTGAATTGGAAATCAAGTGAAGAATTTGCCATGTTATCGTTCCTGACCTGTCAGCTCGACTTCAGTCACTTTCCTCAACGCCATAATGCAGATTCCTGTGTCTTTTCTAAAGATATGTAGTGATAACAACAGATAAATTCCTTATTACTCGACTATGTAGTAGTCTGGAACCAAAATAATTAATGATTAATAAACACAAAGTATATAATTCATAATAAATAATATGATAATAATTAGTAATAAAAGAAAAATTAAACATTAAGCAATAAATATACTTTAAAAGTACAGATAAGAATGATAAATAAAGTAATAAAAAGTTAGATTATTAAAAAAATAGTTAAATAAATGTAGAATACTTCCATGATGCACCAGAACAACGTTTTACCGCCAAGTGAAACAAAATCAAAATTTTCTCTCTTCAAATAACCGAGCACCGAAGGAGGCAGATATCCTGGATGATTCTCTGATAAAACATGTCACCACTAACAGATGAGGAAAATATCTTTATTTCTGTACACACATATGTTCTTTAAATTATGCAATCTTTTCTCTAACAAGTATACTAAAAGCATCTTATTGTTTTTGTCTCTAATTATTTAATTGTATATCGTATCTGGTTTTGTTTGTGATATTATAATTTCGCTGTGGGCTAATTATGTCCTTTTATGTTGCCCACACACACACACACACACACACACACACACACACACATATATATATATATATATATATATATATATATATATATATATATATATATATATATATTCCTATAAGGCCAACGTATCACTAGAACAACCCACGACAAATACTTCCCTGGCAATTGTTCTGATGAACTTTCTTATATGGTACTTAGACTTTATGAATTTAAACGAAGTATTAGATTTGGTCAGGTCTCATCATTTTACAGTTGAATTGGGTAGATGTAACCGGAAGTTTTATCCTAATAGTTTTTCTCCCTCACTTATGGAACTCTCTTCCGGTTCCTTGATTCCAAACTAAAATTTGATCTTCAAAAAATTTCAATGCAATGTCAATCGTCTTAATTATTGTTCTTTCATTGTCCTTAATAATAGATTTTTCTCATAGTCTCTAACACTCAGTAATCCCTTGCATCTTAGTGGCTTTATTGCCTTGCTTTCCAGTCAAGTTAAATGTTCAAATATTTAAATGCAATGTCAGTCGTTATCTACTGTACTTTTGTTGTTCTCGCTCCTTAATAACGCCTTTCTTTTTCTCATATTCTTTCATATTCAGTAACTCTATACTGTTAAATAATAGTCTAGCAGACGATTATTTTTTATAGAATTGTATTCTCCTCTGACTTCTTTATTTTGACCTTTGAGATCCGATACAGGAAAAGAGAAGAAGGTATTTTTGATTGGTTAAACTAGCGTGGGAATGTTAGAGAAATAGAAAGTGATTTCAAGGAGCTAAGTTTTACATCTAATACACAGTAGACGTGGTTATTTCGTGTCTGGGGAACTTTTATCCGCCAGTCGGGGTGATAGAGCAATCACACTGGCTAGTTTAAAAATGTACATGTCGACGTGTTTTTAATAAAATAGATAAGTTTCTAAATCCTTTTGTTGAAGTTTTTCATCACTGGACTCCAAAAACATTTCGACACCCGGCCGAGAGAAGACAAGTGAGAAAAGATACAACGTTATGCAATCGACCCCGTCGACCAAGAGAGACCCCACACACACACACACACACAATCTGCGTTTTATAATAAGTAAGATGATTTATGGTCTGAATTTCTGAGTCAGAGCAGGGTTGCATGATTGTATTTATTTAGCCTTTGAACATATTGATAAGTGAGGACATATCCTGCTCTCATTTGCTATCTCTCTCTTTCTCTCCGTTCTCAATTTCAATTTAGACGCAAACAAATATAGACTGCATGCAATTGTTAATCAAGGAAAGAAAAGAGAAAGAAAGTGAGAGAGAAAGATGGACAGATATACAGACACAGGGCTAGGTAGGTGTGTCTATATTTTGCTTTGGTTGGGGTGGAAACATTTTATCTGCTCCTCTGATTACGATTTTGTATACCTGTCTTTTGCAGGTTTTCTGATCTGTCCCTCTTATCTTGCTTTATCGAATCGAGAAGAAAATGTTGTTTATTTAACCAATGAAATGTACTTTGTCCAATGTCCATGGCAGTCATGGTTAGGTGGAGAGGGGCACTGCACTCACAAGTGTATTATCTGGTTTGACTGCATTTGAAATGAGGACAATGTCGAAAATTTTCTTATCACTTTCTGCATGACTTCTTCTTCACTGTCAACACAAACATGATATTTACGACGGAGAAAATTGTTGATAATGGCATGTATTAGAAATCACGTAGGAAAAGGTAGAGTCAGGAGTTAACGCCAAAAAAAATACTGGCTTATTTTGTCATTGCTGGAGATAACAGATGAACAAAAGCCAATTGTCTATCTATCTATCTATCTATCTATCTATCTATCTATAAGCCCTTTCAAATCTATCTATCTATATATCTCAGTCGTTTTCATATCTATGTCAGTCGTTTTCACATCTATCTATCTATCTATCTATCTATCTATCTATCTATCTATCTATCTATCTATCTATCTATCTATCTAAGCCCTTTCAAATCTATCTATCTATATATCTCAGTCGTTTTCACATCTATCTATCTATCTATCTATCTATCTATCTATCTATCTATCTAAGCCCTTTCAAATCTATCTATCTATCTATCTATCTATCTATTTATCTATCTATCTATCTATCTATCTATCTATCTAAGCCCTTTCAAATCTATCTATCTATATATCTCAGTCGTTTTCATATCTATGTTAGTCGTTTTCACATCTATCTATCTATCTAAGCCCTTTCAAATCTATCTATCTATATATCTCAGTCGTGTTCATATCTATCTATGTTAGTCGTTTTCACATCTATCTATCTATCTATCTATCTATCTATCTAAGCCCTTTCAAATTTATCTATCTATCTATATATCTGTCATTTTCACATTTTTCTATCTATCTATATATCTATCTATCTAAGCCCTTTCAAATCTATCTCTCTATATATCTCAGTCTTTTCCATATCTATCTATCTATCTATCTATCTATCTATCTATCTATCTTCACATTTTCCGGAATTTCACCAACGAGACTAGTTTCATTTTGTCTTTGTTTCAAAGTCAAGAAATTCAAAAGACTTTTTTAGAGTTTTTTGCGATTCAATCAAAATTATGCTAACGTCATTAAATCAAAATAAATTTTCTCATTAATATAGATATTTTTTTCCTTCTAATTACCGAATGTTAAAGTCATCTTGTATTAAACCCGAAAATAATTTCAATTTTAGATTTTTTAACATTAATTACTTGTTAATCTTTATAAAAACTAATCGGAAATAAACGTGCGAATTACATTTGTATCCGTTTATAATAAAAAAAAAAGTATTAGTCAGTGGTAAAAAAATTAAAAATAATAATTAAACGTTTTATATTTTAAAATAACCATTTCTATTTGTGCAAATAAAAATTACTTTTTTGATATTTTACACAAAAATTAGTTTAATTATTATTTTGCATTATTTTAATAAACTTATCTGGTTAATTTGCAGATTAGGATTCGCGCTCAAATTTTCATTAAAAATTTCCTGAATACTTAGATTTCGATGTAAATGTAAACGCTTCATGCGAAAATGACTTGATAAATTTCATAAATTTTACCGTTTTGGAGTTCTCGACAGTAAGAGTTTGGATTTATTCACGTCGTTGGCGGAAGACATTACTGGCGTTGTTTCTATACATTTGCTGTGGAAAACTAAGCACAGAAGAACACAGTTAGCGGCCATATTTACTGATCTTACTCGTCTCAACTTGTCTCAATTACTGCACAAGAGATCTATATTGTGTGCGCAAGAATCAAGACAAGTGAATAATCCACTCATAGCTGTTCCGCAGCAAATGCATGCAGACAACGCCAGTAATGGCTGCCGCGATGCGAATAAATTTGAAATTTACTGTCGATAATACCAAAACGGTAGATTTTATCAAATTTATCAAGTCATTTTTGAATGAAGCTTGTACATTTACACTTAAATGTAAGTATTCGGGAAATTTTATAATAGTGTATTTATTTTATGCTACTAACTGAAAAAATGTCTTACTTTATTCTACTTTTTTATTTTATACTAATAACAAATAAAAACATATATACGTTTGACATTTTTGACATTTTGACAATTATTTGTTACATGTTATCTCTCTCTTGCTTCTCTCCACCCTTTTCTCTTGTCTCTAACACGTAAAGAAACTTTTCTGTCTCGTGGCGTGATTATTTTCGTCCAATGAAATGTCCTGTATTCCGGTGACGTCATCTGTGCGTCCAACGCCCTTCGCAGTTTGGTTTAGAAAATTCGGCAGTGAAGACGTGTTTTGTTTCCGTCTCGCGTTTTTTTTTCACGCAAGTGAAATCAAAATCAAATGTAAGTAAGAATTTTATCTTTTTCCAAATCATCCAACCTTTTTAAAGGTTTCCATGAAAAGAGCTAAACTCTTTCTTCTTCTTTTTTAATCATTTCACCTCAATGAAGGCAAGAAAGCCACTATGACGCAAGGGGTTTCTAAGTATGAAAAAAGAAAAACATATTTGGCTCTCTTCATTTCTATTTACTGGTATCATATCTAACAATCAGTCTCAATCTGTTCATATATATCTATCTCAGACTTTTCATATCTATCTATCTCAGTCTGTCCATATGTATCTATCTATCTATCTATCTATCTATCTATCTATCTATCTATCTATCTATCTCAGCCTGTTCATATCTATCTCAGTCTGCTTATATCTATCTATCTATCTATCTATCTATCTATCTATCTATCTATCTATCCCAGTCTGTTCATATATGTCTCAGTCTCTTCATTGTCTGTCTCAATCTGTTCATATCTATCTATTTATCTATCTCAGTCAGTTCATATCTATCTAGCTATTACCTATCTGTTCAAAGGTATCTATCTATATTCATATCTATCTATCTCAGTCTGTTCATATCTATCTGTTAGTCTAACTCTCCGTTTATTTAAAAGAAAAGAAAAAAATCCCCCCTGTCTCTGTCATGAACGTAAATATTTTTGTCAAAATAAAACAATTCATCGGTCTAGCTATCTGTCGGTTTATTTATCTGTTTATTTAAAAGAAAAGGGGAAAAATCTCTCTCTTTCAAACAATTAATTTATATTGGTTTATTTGTCTATCTATCTCTCCATTTCTTTTTACTGATCTCTCTACAAAATAACAGGAGGATTCAAAATCAATTTTATCATCTCTTGACCATATTTTTCTTTTTCAATTTTGACTCGTTATCTTTTTCTTTAACTTCTTGATTTGTTATTGAATAATGAAGAAGATAAGTTATTTGCCCCCCCGAGTTCTTATCTGCTTCCTTAATGTTTTTTTGTAGGATTAAAACTAAAAAGGAAGACGAGACACTCCCTAAGTATAGTTTTCCGCTTGTTAAAAAAAAAAATAAGGAAAACCTTTTATAAAATCTGTTCATTAAAGTCGTAATATATCGGTTAGCTCTTTCATTAACGAAAATCTTGGTCTGTCTGTCTATCTATCTATCTATCTATCTATCTATCTATCTATCTATCTATCTATCTGTCTGTCTGTCGGTATAGTTAAAAGAAAAAGAAAACCTTCCCTTCTCACTTTCATGAACGAAAATCTTTTTGTCAAAATAAAACAATTTATCAGTCTGTCTTTTTTATTAAAAAGAAATGGGAAAAATCCCCTTCTCTCTCTTTCATATAATTCTTCTCTCTTATTGCTCTTTCCTCACTTCCCTACTTTTCCTCCCTTGTTATCTCATGAAACCTCTCTCTCTCTCTCTCTCTATTGGTCGGTCTATATTTAAAAGAAAAGGAAATCTCTCTCTCTCTCTCTCTCTCTCTCTCTCTCTCTCTCTCTTTCATACAACTCTTTCTTTTTCTCTTATTCGTCATTCCAATCCTACCCTTCACTTTCTCCTTTCCTACTTTGCCTTCCTTGTTATCTCATAACTCTCTTCAGCCCGAGCAGGTGTGGTTATTCTCGTCCAATGAAATGCCTTCCGCTCCTATGACGTCACAGCCCCCACAACACAAGTCAGAATTTTCCCATCGATTACCAAATAATCGAACTTTCCGAAATGGTTTCATGAAAAACAACGAGAAATTCTGTTTTTTTTGTTTTTGTTTTTATTTTTATTTTCTCTTCATACTGAAAGAAAAAACATTCTATTATTACCTAATTCTTACCTCCGCCACCCCGTTCTCTCTTTCTCTCTCTTATGTTGGCCTATCTGTCTTTCTATTTATTTAAAAGATAAAGAAAAAATATCCCCCTCTCTCTTTTATACAACCTTTCCTTCTCTCTTTTATTCCTCATTCCCCCCCCTTCACTACTTTCCCTTCTTTATTGTCTCATGAAGCCTATCTATCTATCTATCTATCTATCTATCTATCTATCTATCTATCTATCTTACTGATTGGAAATATGAAATTTAATCTTTTTGCTTGGAATTAAATCTAAAATAAATGCTTCAAGAAAGATTCTTCATTTTTAAAAGTTCATTTCAAACCTTAGCAAAATTTTGAGGTAAAAGTTCAATAAATGTGTCAAAAAATGAGTGATCGATTTTGCACTGTGTCGATTTGATTATAAACGAAGCGGAAAAAGTCAATCATTTTCTATGAGTGGACCACTTTATTTAAGTAGTGCTTAATTTTCTCGCTTCTACTGACCTTGTGCCATACTAGGTTAAGATTAGTGAACAAGGTAAAAACAAACTTAGCAAGTGGTAATAAGAAATGTCTTTCAAAGTAAATTTTTAAAAATAATCGGAAGAAATATTAACATTTTTAAAATTGATGAAGAGATGTTAAATGCGACTGTGAAGGCGGCAAATTGGATCTCTCTCTCTCTCTCTCTCTCTCTCTCTCTCTCTCTCTCTCTCTCTTTCTCTCTCTCTCTGTTTCTTTTAGCTTTTCATTTTCTTTCCCTTTCTCGCATTGCTCTTCTCTCCCTCCCTTTCTTCATTGATAACCACTCTCTCCGTTCCCCACTCTCAATATTTCATTCACCCCCACCTCTTCTCCTCTCCTTCATTTATTTGCGATTTTGGAAAAAACATTTTTCTTTCAGAAAATCAATTGTTTTTTTTGTAAAACTCGAAATTTCGGGTCATTTTACTTCCGGTTTTATAAATGGACTTTATTTTTTTTCGTCTTTTTCTGATTTTGAACTTTGACTTTTTTTCTTTTCTTTTCAGATTTATTTTTATCTTCCGAAAACATTTTCCAAATGGCGTCCAATGTGAATGAAGAAGAAACATTCCAATGCTCGAAATGCGACCAATGTTTGGACTGGACATCGAAGACATTGCCATGTCTTCATTCTTTCTGCAGACCGTGTTTGGAGATGATTCTTTGGGAAAACAGCCCGTGCCCCCAATGCCAAGAGCCTGTGACCAGTGACAAGTTAAGACTGGCACCATTTTTGGTGAAGTCTTTGAGACGCCGTCACTTGGAATCCAGTGAATGGAGGTGCGGTTTTGTTCGAAGACGGCGTAGAATCAGCGGGTCAGATTTGGTGCAAGGATTGCGAGAAATTCTTCTTTGCCGGAACTGTAACAGGGTCCACAAGAAAATGAAATGGACGCACAACTGGGAAGACTTGTCCGGCAAGGAGAGGGTGGAGGCCATCCGGGTCATCATGATGGATGATTGTCGACGAAACCAACAATCCAAGGACGCCTTCTGCCAGCGGTGCAACGTGTGCCTGTGCGACGCATGTTACAAGGAACATGTATATACCTCCCTCAGTGTCCACCTCGTCCGCTGTCGGTGAGAGGAGGCGTCAAAGGAGAAGGAGGAGGGCGGCAAATGCCCTGGAGCAGGAACTCCGCGAGTTCGAAATCCACATCCGGGCGACGAACGAGCAGATGAGGCGATCCATAGACCAACTGTCAATGGATTGCGATTCCGAATGCTCAAAACTCTGTCAGGATTTCGAGACATACGTGGAAGAGGCAAGAGTCAGACTGGGAGAGCTGTGCGACAATATGAGAGAGATGTCGTCCGAACTGGAGAGAAAATGGCGCAGCTCCCTCAAGGAGAGAGACGACCTGTTGAAGAAGGTGAAGATCTGGCGCCACACCGTGCGACATTTGTTAACGGACGATGCCGACGATGAGGACGTCGTTTGCGGATTGCGGTTGGTGAGATCGGAGCTTTCTGCGTGGCACCGCCAATCGTTTGCTACGGCCGAGAAAGGACATTGGGTGGTGACATTTCCCAAATGGTGTCACGACTATAGAGTCACTGAAGAAAGAAATGATCGATTGGATGGTAGAGACATCCGGGCATTTGCAACTGGAAAGTGAATGCCGTCTGCAAGGATCGAACCAGCTGTGGATTTTATCGATTATCGCCAGCGACGAAGACAATCGCGTCTTTGTTGGTGACTGGAACAGCAGTTCGATCCAAGAATTCGGTGACTCTGGGGAACTGGTAGGCCAATGTCACTTAACGGACGGAGGAAAGAAATTCACCCCATTCGACACGTGTCGTCTTTCAAAAGATATTTTGGTTGTCTGTGGTCTGGAGTTTTTGCGGCGAGGCGAAGAAGGAACATATCTTTGGGGGTCGGGAAGACTTTTCTTTTTGGCACGAAAGAAATGTCCGCCATTTTTAGAAATCCAAAAAACAATTGAATTTAAAAGAGAAGAAATTTTTTCTTTGTGTCAAATTAACAAAAAATTTTCGCTTGTGAAATGAATTTTCAGAAAATTGTTTATTTTAATGAAATTGGAGAAGAAATAAAAACAATCCACCCTAAATAATTAATTTGGAGGAAGGTCTTTATTCTCCACGTCTTCGTGCCGATCCGACGACTGGGAATTTTGGGGACAAAGATTTGGAAAATCGGAAATCTTTGTTTGGAAACAAAATGGAGAAATTCTTCAAAAGTTGGAAATAAAAGAAAGAATTTTCGATTTTTGTGAAAATAGATTTGGATTATTTTATTTTCCGACTCAAGAAGGAATTTTTTTCTTTTGCCAGAAAAAAATTGTATAAATTTCCGAAAAAATCTGAAAATTTTCCAAGGATTTTTGTTTCCCACCAAAAATTGTTTATTTTATTTAAAAACGATGGAATAAATTTTATGAAAATTTTTGAAAATTAATTAAAAAAATTTTTTCTTTCTTGATATTTTTCTTTCGTTTATTATCCCTATTTTCTTTTTTCATGGGGGAAGGGGAGTTGTTAATTTTCTGAAATTTGTCTTTTTGTTTGAAGCCATTTCAGACTGACATTGGTAAGGAACTGGCGAGCATAAAACCAAGGAGAACTGGCGATGGGATTTTAGAGTATTTGTAAAAAGCCGAGAAAGGGTCGATTGTTTGTTTTTTTTTAAGACAGAAATTCCAAGTAGGTTATTGTTTATTGCAGAAACAGATGGAGGTTGTGGAGAGCCACAACTGCCTACTTTTGGAGTCTGGAATAGAAGGGCAGGATGGAATTAAAGGGAGTGGCTCGTCAATTCCGGAAAAGGAAAAGAGAGAAAAGAAAATGAACTCGTAATATCATCATCATCTTCATTAATCTGATTAAAAAAATGAAGAAAGAAAATGGTGTCGTGGACGCATCATCATCATTAAAGAATTAAAAAGAAATTTCGATTAAATAAAATTACGAATAAAATACTTTCTTTTTCACAGACCCACAAAATGTCAACTTTCCTTCCTATCACCCCCACCCCCACAAAAAAAATATGTTCTCCCTTCTAGCTCCACCCACCCAAAATGTCTATTGCCATTCCACCCGTCTCCCAAAAACTGTCAGCTTTTTTTTTCCCCTGTCAGAAATAAAATTGTTTTTTGATTTTTTTTCTTTCTTTTCTCTCATTATGCATCCCCACAACGACCCCCGAGAAACCTCAACTCTGAGAAGTCGGAGGTTGGGCGTGTCTTAAAGGAATAAGTCCAAAAAGAGGTGGAGTAGAGCGGTAAGAATACGAAAAGAAAATAAAGACAAAGTTCAAATTGTGTTCATTCCTGACCTGCCGTTCGTCGGACATGTTGAAAATGAGTTGATTTGGGACGAAAGTCCAAGGCGATGCCGAAGCCAAAATGCCGAAACAAAAAATTCTTCATAAGACGATCCGACGAACCGGAAACAGTTTCAAAAGACCCGAACGCGAAAAAAAGTTAAAACTAAGCAGTCCAAGGGGAATAACTCTTGGTTATTTCTTTCAGTAATTCCTTCTAATATAGACATTTTATTCGGTTAAATTTTATATTTTAAACCCTTTACTTCCCCCTCGCCTTTCCATTCAAGTTTATAAATAGACTTACCTAGACCCAGTTAAGAATCCATTATATTTTGTAGTTTCATTTGACTCTCTTTTGAAAAAAAAAAGACTGTGATCCTTAAAAACGTCGCCTGAAAATGTCTGATTTATTGCCATAAGTGGGTGGAATTCAAAATGAATAGTACGCAGGATTTGGAGAATGAAGAAGAACCGAATGAAGACATTGAAACTAGGAAGATTTTTTCTATTTAAGTTCACTGCCTTCATGCCCATCAGACAAAAGGCATGAAACCATCACAACAACCCGCCTTCTCCGGATGGAGAC